TCGTCGTGCACGGTCGGCGGGGGTCTTTGGGCACGTCGGTTGTGGGCTGGTTAGTGGATGAGGGGGCGGAGGGTTTGGGGCCGTTCCCAAGTCTTGCGAGCTCCGAGCTTCTGAGTCGATTGTGCTGGTATTGGTGGTATCTTCTCTTGCCCCATGATCCTGAGCTGCTCGGTGTAGGCGTCGGCGTCTTGGGTTGGTTGTTCGCACTGTCCTGGTAGGATTGACCATTTTGCGCCCTCCATCTCGTGGTCCATGCGCCTCTGCTCCGAGTCAGCCATGGCTTTCCGCATCGTCTCCTCTTCACCGCGCTCATTCATCCTGGTGTCGAGTTCCCTCAAGAGGTCGATGTCGGTTTTGCCTTCTCGATCTTCAGCTTGACGTAGTTCGGCTTGTAGTTGCACCCGTTCCTTCAGGAGCTTCTCTTCGTTCAGCTGGATTTTGTTCGCGAGACGATCGTGCATATGTTGTTTTGCGTGTCGTAGGTGGGCGCTCTCTTGGTTGCGCTCGTCTTGTACCATGTATGCCTTGTGTTGCTGCGTTTGTAATTTTCCGTATTCTTCAAGTAGTCGTTCTTTGACGCGTCGAAGGGCGTCTTGCTCGGAGATGGCACTGGTATGGGCTACTGCGAGATGTTGCTGCTGCTCCTGATTGATGTAGTCGTGCTGCTGATAACCTTTTTGCTCATATTCTTGATCAGGTTGTAGGCGCATGCCGCTTCTTCTTGTCTGGCGCGTCCAACTTGTAGTACTCGTTGTTACGCGTTGTCGTAGTCCTGTTGGTACTGGGCCTTCTGCATGCCCAGGGCGAGCTTCTCGGAGTACAATTCGTTCTGTCGTGCTTCTTGGACTTTCTTTAGCTTGTTCTCCTCAGTGTCGGTCCTCTTTGGCGCAAGGGCTCTGTCCCCTTGAAGTTGCTCTTGGAAGGGTTGTTCTTGTTGCTGTAGTTTGTATACCATAGCATTCTCCGCGAGCTGCATGTGGTGTTTTTTGTAGTGTGCGAAATCCTTGCGCATAGTTTCCATTATCCCATGCATTACTTTCATCTTCTCGCGGTGCTCCGCCTGCTGCTTCTCCTTTTGCTGGTTGATCTGCTGTTCTTGGTGGAAGAAGGCGAGGTGGTGCTGGTGGGCGCCTGTGTGCTGCTGCTGGTGTTCTACCTTCTTGGCCAGGTCTGAGATGAGGTTGCGCAAGTCCTGGGCGTCGTCCTTGGCATGGGATCGCTGCTGGTGTTTAGGCGCTTGATCGCGGGCTCTGGCTTAATGCTCGCTTTGCTCGTTGTGGTCGTCGACGCTGCTGTTCTCGTTTGTAATTCGCCGTTGTTCTCGATGTCTCGGGTACAGGGTTCTGCCGCTTGACCCATGTGGTCTTTGGGTGCGACGTTCTGGCTCCCCTTCTATGGAATCGTCGGCGTCGCAGCTCGTGTCATAGTTGTATCCGACGCTACTCATGTCGTGCTTCGCTTCTTGGGTGAGGGCGTTGAGGCTTTTTATCTTGGCCTCGATCGCCAGCTCGTTGTTGATCAGCTGCTGCTTCTGCTTGGTGATGTCTTTCTTTTGGCCTAGGAACGCTTCCAGTTCATCACGACATGTTCGTAGCCGTTCGTGAACGGGGTGGGTGAGCATATACATGCACTTAGTGACCGCAAGCCCTTCGACCAACTTTCGGTCCTCCACCCCAGCTGCACATGCACCCCATATCTGGTCCGCCAGTCGAGTCATACGGCTGCGCTTCGCGTGGATCCACATCAGCCGCATCTCGCGATCGTTCTCCGAGCCCGGGTTGCCGAAGCTCTCGTGCTGCCCGGCGTCCTGGTCGTGGGGTGGACTTCAGCGATGATATCCTTCTACCTGGTTACCTCTTCGTGAACTCCACCTCCTTGGGAAACCCAGGGCGAGCAGCGGGTAGGGGCCCTTTTGCCCCTCTTTCCTCTGCCCCCTTGTGGTTTCCCTTTGGCTGTCTGGATGTTGACCTTGCCGAAGCTGACCTCGCAGAGCGTCTTTGCCAGCTGTTTCGTCCTGCTGGTGGTGGTTGTAACTATTCTGGCAGTTGTTGTTGTTGTTGTTGTTGTTGTTGTTGTTGTTGTTGTTGTTGTTGTGGTTGTTGTTGTTGCTGCTGTTGCTGTTGCTGTTGCTGTTGCTGTTGCTGTTGCTGTTGCTGCTGTTGTTGTTGTTGGTGTTGTTGTTGTTGTTGTTGCCAGTCGACCTTCCGCGCGGTTGCCTTCTCCACGGCCAAGGCTGCGCACCGACTGGAGGTCCCAGTGTCCACTGCTGCGCCATCTTGTCGTGGTGATACTTCGACATGTGCTACTGCGCTGAGACGTTCACCGACTGGTCGTAGTCTATGTTCTGCTCGGCGCTGTGGTGCTCTGAGAGTGCCCTCGCGGCGGACAGGACACGAAGCAACGTGCGCGCCTGCGCACGTTGTTGCCTCTTGCGCCGATGCCAGGCTGGTTCGCCTTCGCGAGACGTCCTGGCGGGGCGCCTGCCGCGGCCGCGGCGCCGAGCAATGGCCCGCGGCGCGCAAGCCCGAGCACGAGGGGGCGACCGACGAAGGCGACGACGGCACCGCCCCCCTTGAGCCAAAATGGCTACGGACCCTCTATGTGGCCCCGCCTCCTCCCGTCGCTAGGGGCGAGGAGCTTCCCCGTGCCACCCCGGCCGAGCTGGGATGCGTCGAGCGAGAGATGGGGGGGCCAAACCACCAGGAGGACCCCTCCCCCTGGGTTCCTCGCCCTGGTGGTGCACGCGTCTCGGCGGGCGTGGCCGCGTGGCCGCGGGCCGGCGCGCCCGCGCGCGGGTCGGAGGGCACGGCAGGCACGAAGGGCGCGGCCCGCCCCCGCCGCGGCCAGCCGTGGCGGCCGCCGTGACAACAGCCATCGCCCCCCAGGGTTTTGGCGGCTGCGGCCAGGGCGGATGTCAGGGGCCACGTCGGGGGGGGGGGGGATTGGCGGGCGGGCAGCGATCGCCCAGTTGGTCGCCGAACGGCGCCCGGTGGCCCCACCCCGCCCAGGAGTTGGTGGATCTGCCATTGGTGGCCCATCGGCGATCCATCGGCGATGTATCGCCGATTTTGGCTTGATGGTCCCCTTCTGGGCCGTTCCAGCCCTGTCGCTGCGCAACCACGGAAGTCATGGGCGTGACGACCGACAGCAGCGCTTGCCCATTTTAATGAGGTCTCGCCGTCGGTACCGACGCGGACGTTGTCCGTTTGAGACAGGAAGTCGCGTGTCCAACAGCGGCCCCTTCGGTTTGGGACAGCATTTATTGCTGGGGTTCGCGCCAGTAGTTGTCGTATCCATGTTTGGCGTTCAGACACATGTATACATGAGTTTCGATCGCCCATGTCTTCGACAAGGATCCTGGCGAAAGCGTGCTGTGGCTGCCTCTGGGCTATCCGCCCCGATTTAGCCCCCCTCCCCAGCCCACCCCCGAGATTGCCACATGGACTGATTGCGCACGGTCGGCTACGGCGTGTGCGCCCGCGCGAGCATCGTGCGGGCGCAGAGATGGACGAGGCGGGTGCAACTTCCCATTCATGTCCCGAGGATCGCGAGGGTTTTTTTTGGTCGGAGCTAGACCCCACCAGTGCCGCGAGTGGGGTCCAGCGCCGGTCGACTACTCCGCGCGGACACCTTCGCTGTGGCGCGCAGCGCTCGCGAGACATCCAGAGGAACAACATGCGGCATTGAAATCTATGAGATGTTCCGAGCTCCGCGTGGATCTCTTGGGTCGGCGCTAGGCCCCCTGGCGGCGCCCCTGGCGCCGCCGCCGGCGCGCTCCGCTCGCCAGGGCCTGGCGACGGGAGAGACAGGACGAAGAGGACAAGTTGAGCGGCCTCAAGTTCGCCCCCCTCGCGGAGAATGACAGGCCCGGGCCAGAGATGATTTTGGGGATGTGCCTCGAGAAGCCCAGAGGAGGAGAATGAGATTCGGCAGGGGTCGACAGCAGGCCAGCAACCGCCGCAGGAAGAAGTCAGTCAGCCCCTCTGGGGGCGGCGCCCCCTCGCGGCGCCCGCGCAGCCACCGCCAGGGGAGGCCCCAGCGAGAGTCGGCCGCAGGAGTGGTTCTGAGCCCCGAGCGCACGCCGCGGGCACCTCCTCTCCTCCTCCACCTCCTCCTCCTCCTCCTCCTCCTCTTCGAGGCGACGCAACCACAGCGACACAACCACAGGGTATGGAATTTGATGGCAACGATACGATATGTGATGCTCGAGTGATGCCGGCGCCCCGGCGCCACCGCCTATCCCCGCGTAGGGCCGTCCCCCTGGGACGACATAGGCGCAGCCTCGCAGCCTCGCAGCCTCGGAGGGGACTCCTCGTCGTCTTGGCTGGACGCGGCTCGAAAATATGATCGGACCCCAGGGCTGCCGGTCCCTGGGGGATCGCCCGGTTCGGCCCGGCCCCTGGCGCGGTCCCGAGACATCGCATCGACGGCTTCGTCAGTCCGCGGGCCCCGCAGCGGCCTCGTCCTCGGGACCAAGAAGTTATAGTGATGACGCGCTCCAACCTCCAACAATGATGCTGTTCCATCTTGTTCTGCGCGAGTTCCAGAAGCGAGGGCCGCTCGGCGCTCAGGAATTCCTGGGCCAATCGCATCATGATATCACCATCCTCGTCCCAAAACTGGAGGAAAAGCTTTAGGATCGAAACATACACGACGAGTGGGGCCTTCAAATGGGGGCCACCGCAGATGGGGTCGGAGAGTCGCGCCGCATCGCATCGCCGATGCATCGGCGATGCGGTGCGATCCACAGTGCGATCTTGCGACCCCATCGACTCTCCAGGCAGGCCTCGGACGAAGACAGGTGGCTCCTAGAACTTTCTCAAATTGTTCTGGAGCGCTTCGGGAAGGACTGCGGCGCACGCCAGTTCTCAGAGATTCCCAGTTTATCCTCATCCACGCGACGAGCGGGGGCCTCCCCTGGCGGGCCGTGCCGAGCGCGAATGCCTTGCGCGCCATGTTCCCCCCGGGCCGAGCGGGCGCGGACACGCCGCACGGGGGCGATGGTCACCTTCGTCACAGGCGCGCTAGGGGGGCGGGGGGGCAGGGGCAACGCCAGGGGGGGACAGGCTCAGCGCGGGATGCGTCGACCCCCGATCGCCCATTGGTCGCATAATGGGGCCCGATAGCCCAGCCTCGTCCGGGAGCGCGTGGTGTCGCTGTCGGGGGCATATCGCCGATCGATCTGTCGGCGATGTATTGCCGATTCCAGGTCGACGCAGCCCCCTCCCTTTTCCATCAGGGAGGGATGGCAGGTTCGAGAATTCAGGGTGATGAACGCTTGCCGACCATTGTGTGTGTGTGTGTCCTTCCGGGGGCCCCATGCCTTCTCGTCGCCACCGCTGGACCCACCTCGAAAGCCTGACCAGAACGTGCTCTTGGAGAGGTGTGGCCCTAGATTGGTCAGGGACGCCATGAAGAAATGGTGTCCTAGGGGGAGCGGGTCCTGGAGGATCGCCGAAGGTGCCCGCGGCGGTTCGGTGGTTTCGGACGTGTGGCAGTCGGTTGCGCTCGGCCAGTTTGGTTCGGTTCGGTCAGTGGTTGTGTCATTGTTGCGTCGCCGCGCCCTGCTGGGCTGCGTGTGGCCCTTCTGTTTCGTCGGTTTTTGTTTCGGTGTCGGTTCTGTCGAGCTCGGTCATGCCGTCACCGTGGACGGCCTTTGGCCTGAGGGACATGTGTCCTTGAGGTTGTTCCATGCTTTCGGGCGGCCAGGGCCGTCACAGGGCTCCAGGGCTGTCAGGAAACGACTCGTGATGAGCATCCGGGTCTGGGGGAAGCCCAGGGTGCAGGACCCGTTTACCTCAGGATTTGTTTCATGCCAGGAGGAGGAGAGTGGGGAGTTTAGGGCTACAAAGCCCCAGCGATGATTCCCAGGTGGATTGTGGTACACACATTTTTCCGAACTGTTGTGCGGTTCGTCTTGAATTTCGAAATTCAGTTCGACACGGAGGTCGGATCCAGTTCTGAGGGCATTCAAGTACGCGGGTGATATTGACACATCTCCAGGTTCGGACCTTTTGTTAGGAAGGAGGGGGCGAGAGGGCGAGATAAGGGGGCTGGTGTGGAGAGAATGAGTGTGATGATGAGGATGTCGAGGAGGAGGAGGGGCCAGATGAGGGACAGGAGAGAGGAAAAGGAGGAGAGAAAAGGAGTCTTGCAGATGGGGAGAAAGGGAGAGCGGTATCGGGAGTTCCAGGGGGACTCAGTGAGTTATAGGGGATGTTGTGGTGATTGAGCTTTTGGGGGTTCGGGGAGGAGTCTGCGGAGGAGAATGATGAGTGCGATGGGTCAGTGATGGGCGAGAAGGAGGTGGAGGAGGAGGTGGAGGAAGAGGACGAGGAACGAGATGAGGAGGACGAGGAACACGAGGGAGGGGGGTGAGGAGGAGGAGGAGGAGGTGGGGGAGGAGGTGGAGGAGGTGTGGGAGGAGCAGGAGGAGGAGGTGGTGGAGGAGGAGGAGGAAGAGGTGGAGAAGGAGGAGGTGGAGGAGGAGGGGCCGTTTGGGGAGACAGGGGAGGGGGCCACGGGAAGGAGAGCGGGAACTGCAGGGAAACACGGAGGATGAGGGTTGGACGCGCCATTGAAGCGGGCGGCGGGGGCGGCTGCCGGAGGCGGTTTTCCTTGAAGTTCCCAGAGCCCCGCGCCCTCCTCGGCCTGCTCCCCCTGCCTCTCCCTTCACCTGGTTTACTGCTGTTCCTCCTCCACCTCCAGGTTCCGCTGTTCCTCCTGCTGCTCCTCCTCGCCGCTGTTCCTGAACGTGTGGCGCAGCAAATCGCCGACGTTTTCCCCATTCGGCCAACTCCCCTGCACAGCGCACGGTTCAGCGACGGGTCGAAACTCATTCCCTATCTAGGCTCTGCCTAGAAGGGTTCTTACTCTCTGGGCTTAAAGGGGCCGGGCAGTGGAAAGCGCCCCGGGCGGTTCCCCCAGTATCCGCCCCGCGGTTCCCCCAGTTACGTCCCCTTAGATTAGCGTCGCTTATCTCATCTTAGCTTAGCTTATTTTATCTTGGCTTAGCTTAGCTTAGCTTAGCTTCATTGTAACTCAGGTTTAGCTTAGCTTTGCTTACCTTCATCTTAGCTTCGCTGAGCCTTAACAAGCATTGGAATGGGTGTAATTCCCTACCTAGGCTCTGCCTAGAGGGTTAGCTTAACTTAGCTTAGCATAGCGCAGCGCTGCATTAGCATAACATATCATAACATAACATGGCCAATCATAGCATAGCATAGCATATCATAGCGCATCATAACATATCACAGCATAGCATAGCACAGCATATCATATCATATCATAGCATAGCATAGCATAGCATAGCGCAGCTTAGCATACCATATCATCGCATATCATAACATATCACATCATATCAGATCACAACGCATCATGATAACATATCATAGCATAGCATATCATAGCATATCATAGCGCAGCGGAGCATATCATATCATAACGCAGCATAGCATGGCATAGCATAGCATAGCAACTAATGCTGTTATCCTGGGGGCTCCAACTTCTAGGTAGGGTCGCACTGGTGTAATGTGCAATACCGTGCCGTTATGAATATCGTATCCCCCCGATTTCGAGCTGGTGGTTCTGCCTCCACCTTGTCGTCTTGCCGAGCTGGTTCGCCTCCTTCTCTTCCTGGCGTTGCTCATCTTGCTGCCCAGTCCCCCCGCTTGACCCTCAGAGCGGCGCAGCAAAATGGCACCGTCTTTGCGCGTCTGGCAGGACACAAGGCAGCCCCCATATGCCAACGCGGAAGTGGATTGCGTCCCTCTGCCCGTCGTTTGTGGCCATTTGGGCTCAGGCGTTCGGCCGACGTTGAACAACGGTTGGGCGCAGATGTTGGCCCATGGGCCGTGCGCCTACGACGCCGCGCAGCGGCGGCTGCGCAAGGTCTGTCATGAATCGGAAATCGTCGGCCCGCGCGTGGCGCCCCAGGCGGACGAGACCGACTTCGAAGAGAAGGTCGCGCAGGTTGCGGCGGCCGCGGCCCTCAGCGCGGAGGAAGCGCGGGCGGCCGCTGAGGGCATTCGTGGGCCAGGCAGGGGCCGAGGAACCAGTTTCGACGCAGTTGAGGGCGTCCCATGGCTGCCCGGAACGAGCCATTCTGGAGAACGTCGCGGCGAAACATGCGGCGGCGGCCAGCCGCGGAGCATCCGAGGCCCCGCCGCCGCCAGGGGCCCGCGCGATGGCGGGGGGCCGTTTCGCGTGGAGGTGCCGCGCGTCAACGGAAGAACGCTGTCGCGGGTTGAAGGCGCAAGTTTGGGTTCGGTGGAAGGTTCGCTTGTTCACGTTGCTCGAGGAGATGGGGGCGCCCTCGCTGGAGACGGCGCGGTCCTGCATGGATCCGATGCGGAGAAGGTCGGCGTCGCGGGCTGCGCGCGCATCAAGGCGGCGAGGTCGCACGAGCGGGCCACGGAGACCATGCGCTAAGTTATGTTCGCGCACAGGGTGCCCCATGGCCCATGACGATTGCGCATTTCATCGAATACTCTTGCGCGCCAGGGTTGCCCAGCATCGCGGGCGCATTATGCCAAACGGGCCTGGCGCGCCATGGCGTGGACAGAGCGCGCGGCGGGCGTGGGCCATAATGACAGACTCTCCGCTCGGCCCGAGGCCCCGCGGGTCGTCGCGAATGCGGGGCATCGGGGATGCTCTTCGGCGATAGCAATGGCCCGACGACCTGGGCAACTCGGTTTTCCAGCGCGTTCGCTCGTGCCCTGGAGCGGCTTGTCATGGGCGAGGACCTCGCGCTGTGCGTGCGAGGGGTGGCGTGTCTCCGCCTCGTTAAGCTTTGGGTGGCGCTGGACTCCGACGACCGCAGCTACCCCCGCCGGGGCGCCTCGCTCTTGCAGCGCGGGGGGCTGGCTGTCAAGCTGGGGCGCGCGATGATTAGCGGAGCGGGGCGCAAGATGCCAGTGATGCTGCGCGCGGCGCCCTGCAGATGCTACGCTCTGGGCGCGGCATAGATACAGGCGGGCTTCGACTGGTGGAACAAGATCGTGGACTTCGAGAGGGGCCGCCCCCTACTCCGATTCGACTTGCGCAGGGCAGGATGCGGCCCGCAAGCCCGCCGGGCACGCAGCGGCAGCGGGCCAGGAGGTCGAGGATGTCGAGCTGCGCATCCCCGAGGAGATTGCGCGCTTCTGGTTTGGAGCGCGCGGGGCCGGCGACGATCGCTTCGGCCGGCGATGGGGGCGCCGGACAACGAGCGCGACCGCGTGGGCGGACGGTCGCTGGAATGCGCGGACACCCATTCGAGGACGCACCGCGCGGTCGTCCCTATGCTCCAGCGGCGGTTCGCGGAGGCGTTGCTGTCCGGGAAGGCTCGCGCGAAGCTGGGCGCGGCGTCAGCCGTCCCAGACCCGGCGAAGTGGCTGGATTTGAGTAATGGCTTCTCTGTGCAGAATGCGGCGAACGTGGCAGACGAGATCTGCGCGGCCCGCGAGGCCTGCGCCGGCGTGGCGACCGCGGCGCCCGGAGACGACGAGGAGTTGCCGTGGGGGGCGGCAACCTTGGAGGCCGCCTTCGCCGACGGGAAGTAGGAGGGCGCCTTTCCACCCGCGGCGGCAGCGACGCCCCCGTGAACAGAGCGGGGGGCAGGGGGCGGCCGCGACAGCGCTGGCGATGATAGCTGGATGAACGTTCGTTCGGATTCGAGACGGAGGGCGCCCCCCCCCCCCCCCCCCCGCCGATGGCATGGGCGCCGAGGAGATCGGCGACTACCTAGACGCACCCGCGCGCGCACGTCGAAGCGCATGTTGGCCAGGCCCCGCAACGTTCGGGGCCGCGGCCGCGCGCCCCGCAGGTCGCCGCAGAGCGACCTACTTCAACGACGCCCCAGACCCGAAGGAGCATGACGTGGCTGCCGCCGCCTTATCTCGGCCGAGATGACGACGGCAGCCGCCGAGATCGTCAGCCCATCGAGACTTTCGAGCGCCAGGGGCCCGAAGGGACTGCCCAAGGACGGGCGGCCAGATCAGGGGGGCACCGGCGGCGGCGGGCACCAAGCGACCCTTCGG